CTAACTCGTCTTGTTCAAAGAGAGAAAGTATAAAAATATGATAGATGTTTGTCTTCTTACCTCTGGAACTCGCAGCTTGTAATAGTTCTTTTCATCTTCCACGAAGAAGAACGAGCTTCCTCCTTGGTAGTAATTGCCAGTCTGAGTGGACGTACCTCGGGTAACGTCTTCCCAGTCCCACATGTTGATCTGCAGTTCGTAGGTGGCCTGCACGCTCAGGTAATAGATTTTCTCGTTGCCCAACCAGAATTCGCCGCCGACCGTACCGAACCCGTTCTTGTAGTCATTCCATCCACGATAAAAGTCCACTTCGCCGTTGCTTCGCTTCTGTATAAGGGTCCATGCTTTATCGGATTCAAACTCGCACTCGACTCTGAATGGGTGCGGCGCATAATCCGGCTTAATCAGATAGACCCCGTTCTCACCAGCGCCGCCATTTTGGTGAATGTCATCGCAGTCTGTGAAAGGAATAAATTAAATTAAATTAAATTAAATTAAAATAAGAACAAGATGAATTAAATCAGACGTCAAAAAGCAGAAACTGCAAACACCTTTTCAATAAGACAATTTCAATTACCACTCTTAGCCGGGTCATTTTTATACGAAATTTCACCCTATATAAGTCACGCGAGCCACTCAAGGTAGAGTTCAAATGATAATGATGAATGAATTCTGTTTGTTCCTATTAACCTACGTACGTTACACCCTGCCAATACTTAATAGATAATGGACTATTCCGTTTTGATTGCGGAGAGAGGCGGAACAGATACATCAGAGATTCTGTTTGGTTTTACTGAAAACAAAGATGGAAAATAAAAGAACTACTTTCGAACTCGGCCAGTTTATCCACAACTTCGACCGCAATATATATATATATATATATATATATATATATATATATATATATATATATATATATATATGTGTGTGTGTGTGTTTATATATATATATATATATATATATATATATATATATATAATCATCTCAGTTACATTGAAAAAAAGCATTTATTCCCTCCACACATATAAATGATTGATATGAAATATCTTAACACAGCATGTAAGACAGACTTCATGAAAACCAGTTGAGTGATTACTTTTTTTTTGTTGTCAAAATGTGAATAACGAGGAACTTTTAAGAACAATGAAAACAAAAAAGAGATGACATTTCTGGGACATAAGGAAAGAAGGCTTGGAGAATTTTACACGAATAGGACATACTGGAGGCAACAAGGGCAGAGTGGGAAAAAAGCGATTAATTTAGATAACAAGTTTGTGTAAACAGATGGCAGGGAGAGGGCGAGATAGTTTTTTTTTTTTTTTAATCATAACACCCCCGAGCAAGGCAGTAAAGCCACTAAGACGCCAGAGGTTACTGGGTGGGAAAGAATAAGAAAAAAAGAAAGACATTTTTAGGGAGCGAGAACAATAGAAGCGTAATCAGGAAGACAGTAGATAAAGATTGACATTGCATTTGACCTTTTGAAAATCAAAGTTGCCTGGTAAACAAGGAAGCGGAAGAGAGTTCCACAAGGGAGAAGTGTGAGAAAAGAAACTGTTAACATAGAACTTACATTTAACCAATTCAACTATGAATTGATGGGACCTTACCGCCAATCTAGTAATACGCTTAAATTAAAGTCTAGGTACTATAGCGAAGAGTGATATTTATTTGCAATATATACAAAATATGGCACAAGGCCTAAATAGGGAATGGGGAAAAGCACAGTCTTCATCTGTCTTAATATTAAACTTAGCTAGCCACAAACACTAACCCAAACATACAAACACTATTCCTAACAGTAAAACTATACATTCTTACCTAGTTTTCTTACGACACCCACCATAATACCTCATTGTCTCTATGAAAATTCTAATTCCCCATATGTACAATTCATTGTCTGTGGGTGTGGGTGTGTGGGGGGGATTAAACAACAATTTAAAAACTAGCCCCAATGAGTATTTACAATAAGAATACAAAATTATTTACAAGAAAATAAACAAAATAATGTATCATAGCGAAGAGTTCACCCGAACAGTTACCATTGAATTATTTATTTATAGAAAAGGGTTAGAAATGAAAATACAAATATTGTTAAGAGCTATAAAGGATAGGACGTAATGGAGAGCAATGACCGCCCATGTCCAGAAGGCAAAAAAAAAAAAAAAAAATGAGGAAAGAATTTCCTCTGATTGCGTTTTCTCTCTTTATGCCAGTTTAAATTCTAAACTTTTAACAACGGGTTTAGCTTCTTTATCTGTCTTTGCTTGCATTTGCGTGGATTTTAATTAATATTCCATTCACTGCATTCGGTTTTCATTGACTTTAATTCCTTCCTGGACTTCCTCTTCTTTTCTTTGAACAGTCCACAGTGTTAAAGATTGCATGTTACGCCATCCCTTTATTATTCTCTTTGAATCCTTTTGTTCCAACCAAAATGTCTTCGCCCGAACCTGGTGCACGGAGATGAAATAAAATTAATAAAAACATTCTAATCAAACAACATTCATCATCATACCCTACACTACAACCAGGGATCAAATTGGAACATATTCACTCACTTAAGAAACACATTCTTTGTATGCGACACTAATGTCTCCACCTTCCAAAAGAAAAGGCATACACAAGCTAAAAGAAAAATGTCGATCGTTTAAGATGTTCTGATATATACGCATGCGCAAACTGATTATTTTTAGTCAACGTTAAATTAACGCTATCCCCAGAAATACAATTTCGAGAAACTTTGTCACCATTACTTTCTAAAACAGGCTCCCACTTGATTGCTTTCCAACCATAACCTCTTCAGGTCAAGGGGCAATCATTATCTATCCTCTGTAAACTCGTAATTTTCCCTTACTACTGCTTACATTTATATCACTCACTTCAACCCTCTACCTTGAGTGACACTTGTGCCTTGTATTGGTGAACTTCAGTGAAAAAAAGGATGACTGATTTGAATTTGAGTCAATGGGGTGGGGGGTGAATATAGATCTAATGCTATTTATACGCACCGAATAATTCCATTGAAATGTTTAATCCTAAAATACAGAAATGAATGATTGAAGTAATTCTACAGATGGATGATGAGAATGCCATGAGCTGGAAATGTGAGCAGCAACAAAGCTTTAGAGAAAATGGAAACGAAAATGACGCTAATAATTAACATCGTTGATGCGTAGTGGTGTAATAGATATCGTCTCGGAGTGAGAACTCGGAGAGCCGAGTTCGAATTTCAGTCGAGTTTTTCAAATTCACTTATGCACAAATACCCTTGGAAAATGTATGAATCCATCTCTTCTCCCCCAGATATCGTTTGAATATGGCACCCAGTCTACCACAGAAAGAAATGGCAACCTACTGCGGTGAAATGGTAACCTACTACTGACATGCCTAGTCGAAAGATACATGATCGGCCAAGCGTGTATCACGCGTGGCACTTAACTGACTGATAATTAACAGAAAGGAACAGTTGAAATTTCAGGGGCACAGAACGAATTTTCGTGTGTAATACCCAAACGTTTATATTTTCAGATTTATAACTATTGCAAGGCAACTCGGCTTATTTGGTAAATAGAATGTGCTGATATATAGAGTTTTATATAATAAAAACGTAAAAATCATAATTTATTTAGACTACGCTCTGTGCATCAAGTGTGATGCAAAATATTAGATTAGGCCTTTCCTTGGGCGTCCTGCTCGATCCTAGACTCTTTTCCTAAGCGTCCTTAGTTTTAATACTCTTTTAAAATCATGGCTCGTGTGCACGACATACGATGCACGGACGTGGAAATCACATGTCCTGTACATCACATATAATGCACAGGACAGGCAAAGTGTTAAAAAAAGAATTATCAAATGATCATACATTTCTTTTTATTATTTGTGTTGCCAGGCTTCCAAAAGCTTTGTGCCTGCGAACTTTATTTTTGGCTTGGTGACTCTCATGGCGGAAACCTGCTTTTATTGTTTCAACATTTAACTTAATTCAATCATTTTTACTGGATTTTACTTTAATAATTCATTGACATAAATGTTCATAATTTAATGCATTAGGTTGTTCGGAAAATAATGTCCGACTTTAGAATCAACTTTTATTCTCGAATTAATGTATTTAAACAATGTTTAAATCAGTCAACGCTGAACACCTATACATTTCTGTCATCGAGTTACAAGGTTATTTATGCCTTTACGATAATACTCTAAAGGCTTGGACGCCAAGAAATCTTTCAATGTAGTTTCTGCATCTCCTTTGCAGCGGAATGTCTTTTGGCTTAAAAAATTGTCCAAGATGCTTGAAAAAGTGGAAGTCAGTGGGATAGAGATCAGGATTATATGTGGCAGAATCTCATATCTCATGTTGGTGTGCTTCTGTAGTGTCTTCCTGGCAACATGTGGCCGAACATTGTCAGGAAGCAGAATTGAACCTCATTGATTAAGCAGTACTTTTTACTTAATTGAATGTGCATTTCACCCAGTTGCTGGCAGTAAACTTCAGCAGTGATGCTCTGGTTAGATTCCCGGAAGCTTTAATGAATAACAGACAGTCACCATAATCTTCTGTTTGTGCAATTTCATTTTTGGAAAGTCTAGTAGAATCAACTCTTATTCCTAAATGAATGTATTTAAACATTGTTTAAATTAACCAAAATAAAAACACTGAACATCTTATACATTTCTGCCATTGTGCTACAAGATTACTTATACCTTTACGAATTTGACAACCATTATGGCCAAGATCGAATTAATGCAAAATAAATAAATGCATCTCTTCTTTATTCATGTTCAAGATGAAGGGTATATAATGTTTTAAGTTAAATTCTTGTACAGAAGAAAATGGGAAATACCCCGAAGGCCAAAACGTCTTCGTGTATCATGCTGCTTTTGCAGAATAAAAGAGAAAAAAAAAAAGAAAAACGCTTCACTAGTGAATGAGGTCAGCGAGTTCATATGTAAATTAGCTTCTGCTAACCAAAGTTGGGTAAAGTGTTACTGAATGGAATGGATTGCATAGGAAAATAGGCTAATCCATTTCTATGCTTCACAAATAGAAAACATGGAAAGGATCCACCAAACTGCTAGAAAAGCAACTGACTTTTCCTACCAGACAGATTTTTGCGTGGAGGCGGAGGCAGCGTGAGTGTAGATGGAGATTTGGACTTTGTGAACTTTTATCATACAATTCTAAAAGAGATTGATATAAAATTAACAAAGAGGACACTTTAATCATTAAGAATAAGCAATGTATTTTTTGTGAAACTATTGTAACAATATATTAGAACACAATTAAAATGTTTATTCTGAAATCGGACATTATTTTCCGAAGAACGTAAAAAACGTCTTACAATATATAAATGTATACAATACACGTATGACAACAATTCAGTCGAACAAAACAGCAACGCCAGAAGTGAGTAAGAAAGGATGGTGCAAGTGCACTTAACTTCAACCACATTGAACTGAATGTAATACGTCAGTCTTTCATATATTTATCGTTATTTTATTATTAATGTTCCTTTTTCAGAGCCTTAATGATAATTTGTATTCCAATATTCGGACATAAATACGCTTGCTCTATTTTGATTTTTAATTTTAACTTATATTTTAATATTTTTCTTCTTAATTATTTCTGGACCATCCTGCAACATTAATGAATCTCCGTGTGACACAAATTTGGCTAATAATTGCTACGTTCTGTGTCGTCTTTGGGTTCCCACGCTACTGAATAAAATGTTATCAATGAATAGGATGATTTCTTGTTCTTAGTCGTTTTATTAGAAGAGAGTTGTGGCAGCTTGTATTCTAAGAGGCAGTGGGAGGAATGATGTCCCGAGAATGCGTGTCGGACGTTGACTCAGCTTTCCATCGTGTATGGTCTTAGTTGGTCTCATGAACCTGGGTGTGGGAAGCGTATCGACGCTTCAGAATTCTTGCGGTCTCTGTTGAATTCGCGCCTTTTTGGACTTATATCCAAAACCCAGACAAAGGCAATCCATCACTCTTAAAATACCCCGCCAACGTGGCACTCCGGCCAATCGTTGACCATTCTGGACCTGGCCTTCAGTTTTTGTAACATAATTAGTGGTTTAGAAATCATTGATCTAGTCTTTAGGACCAAGACGAGACATAACAAAAAGATTTAACAAGATCAAATGTTTGTCAATGTCAATTAAGCACTAAGACTCGAGCTTGGACGCTGCTCTTTTTATATGTGGCTTATTAATAGAGTTAGGAAAACTTTGAGCCACCTAGAAGCGTCTGGCTGTATCTGATTATTTACGGAAAGTGGTACGAATGTTCATTTATATAAGGAATTGCAAGAAGTGATGAATTTTTCTTTTTAATATTGTTTTATACTGAGAACATATAAACTGAGAATAGATTTAATAATTTTTTCACACTCGTTTCGTCAATTTCATAAGTTCTTGCCAGTTATCGTATTTAACTTTTGTTATTAAAACCTTCTGCACCTATGCCTCTATCTTAGTCTTAAACGAAAGAAGAAAAGAACTAAGAGAAAATAAAATTAAGAATAATGAAACTTGGAGGAAATGTATAGAAAAATGAAGGGAATGGAAAGAAATCTGTTTCTGATTCTTTATCGAAATTGGAACATGCATTCATTTATATAAGAAATTGCAGGAAGTGATGAAATTTTTTTAAAATATGGGTTCACACTGAGAGCATAAAAATTGAGATAAATTTCATGATGATTTCTTTCGCAGTCGTCAGAAACGTATTTTCGCCGGATATCCTATTTAATTCATGTTTTAAAAAGTCTTATGACTTATTCCTCAACCTCAGCCTTTTAAAGGAGTCGGAGTATATTCCAGATCATAGTACCATGAGACCAGAAAAGAATGAAGAATATATTTGCAATAAATAACGAATTAAGAAATGGAGAAGAAATAAAAGGAAGGAGAAAAGAAATGAGAATGAAAAAAATATTGAGATGAGTGAAACTAGGATGAAATAAATTAAGGAATGAAAGAAAAGAAGAAATTTAGGATATAAAGAAAGTAAGAAAAAAAGTATAGCCAAAAAAGAAGAGAAGAAAAACAAAGACAAAAAAGAGAGAAAGATGGGAACATAACGTAGAAAGAAAATAGAAAAGTGAAAAAAAAGAAAAGAAAAAGAAATAAGAAAGAGAGAAAAAGAAAAGAAAGAAGAAAAGGAAATTGAGAAACAAAGACTAAAAAAAGAAATAAAAAAACGTAAAGAAGAAAGAAAAGAAGGGAGGTAGATATACGTAAACAAAGGTGGCATGCACAAATATGCCAAGACTTTCTGTTGAATTTTACCGCGTCGTTGTCTTCCGTTTCCCCTAAGATAAAACGAAAGCCAAATTCTTTTTGGAGTAATTGTCCAGTAATTTGACAAAGAACGTAAAGCAAATGATGATACCAGATCGAGTTACAGGCAAAATAACAGAAAAATTATAGCGATAAATAAAAGAATGTTGTTTTTTCTATTCCCATAACACGACAAGAAAGACACGCAGCGAAGCATGGATTATCCCCCCCGCAACCACTTTCCTACAAACAAAATATTTCTAGTCTTTCACTACTCTATCGCATAGGAGTAGATAGGCTCGCCTATCGTCCAGTTCATACAACTACTCGAATTTTGAGCAGGAGTAGAGGTTTATCCCTTGTTTCCCATTTTTAGTTGGTTTTCCGGTTCTTTCAACTCTGTACTTTTGACGTCTCTGCTTGAAATCGGAAATTTGCTTCAGTAATTATTATTTTTTTTTCTCCCAATATGAGTAGATATATTCACCTATCGTCCGGTTCACACACTTCCCAGGTTTTTTGGACAGGAGTAGAGGTTCGTCCCTTGTTTCCTGTTTAGGACTGGGTTTCCGATCCCTTCTAAAGTCTACTTCAACTCTATACTCTTAATGTCTCCGCCAGAATTTTGAAATTTTATTTGCTAATCAAATCTTGACCTCTTCAAGTCTAGAATTAGCTGTCTGTCTTTCCTGCTATCTTGCCCTTTTTTATACTAATACAACTCCACACAGTAACCCTCTACCTTGAGTGGCCCTTCGGCCTTGTATTTGTTGAACATTAGTAAAAAAAAATCTTCTAACGCGTTACATTGCTTAGTCCCCTCAGCTTAGATGACCTTTACAGCTAAGACCCGGGATACCCCACTTCGAATGTTCACCCCCCCCACATTCCCTTCGTATTCCACTGATTAGCATCCTTCTGTAGAAACACATTTCTGTTCCTTCAAGTCTTTTCTTCATTTTTGAGAAGTTTGTCATTCACTGCCATTTCGGTACTCTGTTCTTTGTTCTTGGTCTGAGTATCATTTTTTTTTTCAGATCAATAATGACAAACATCAAATTAACTCATCAAAGGAAAAGGTACGCTGTAATCATTGCCTTTAAACGATTACGTATTGATTTAGAGATTGCTTGCTTCTTGAAAGTTGCATGGTCATTTCTTATGAAAGTTTGCAAAAAAATAGAAATCACTGATGGGTGTTCTACGGTAGTATTCAAACGTAAAACGCCTGCTAAGTGTCCTAATATCATCAGAATGCGCAAATTTGTACAGAATATGCAGAAAATTATAGGTAAGAATTCCAGAAATTCAATGAACACCATTGCTAAACAGCTCAAGGTGTGAAGGCACCCTGTCGGGAGAATTGTGTATGAGGACTTAAACAAGTGATATGTAATGCGGAAAGGCCAATTCATGTCGGCAAATAAAAAAAGATAACTGTCTGATCCGAGCAAAGCTCTTGTGAAAATATCAAGAGTCTGGAATTCTCCGATGGGAAAACATTTGATCTAGTCAAAAGGCCAAGCGAAGGAATGACAGAGGGTTATGCAGAGACCCTAAGGATGTTCCAACGGTCATGAACACAAAGTTTTCAGCAACTGCGATAATGAGCAAAGAGGGAGACATTACGCCTTCAAGAATTTCTCCTCAAAGATGAAGGGTCAATAAGGTGGTTTTGGAGAGGGTTGCATAGCTTCTGATAGAGAGACCGTACACCTAACAATAAAACTTCGTGCCGTGCTAAGACTAGACGACCCAAGAATGAATGAGTTAAATTCTCTACGATCACGTCACCCCCAAAATATATGGCCTCCTAGCTCAGCAGATCTGAATCCGTTGGTTGACTACGTGTGGGGCATAGTCGAGAGGGAAGGTAATCAATGCACCCTTAAAGATATAAAAACTTTGAAGTCACCAATAACTAGCTCAATGTCAAAAAAATAGATGCAGATCATCTGATTGGGTTGATTTATTAAGTAGATGCGTCAAGAAATGTCTCGCGATTATTTCTGCCAATTTTTTCTCAAATAAAGCTCTTCTTTCATGACTTATGCGTCTTTTACTAAATTCATGCGAATGTACTCAAAGAACTAAGCAACTCTGTATATATATATATATATATATATATATATATATATATATATATGCAATTAATACTAAATGTACATTTTTGTCCTCTCCGTTTGGTACAACTGAATTTCATGCATGCAGCAATCTTCAGTTACTGATTGAAAAACTGACCGTTATAGAATTTAACTATTAATAGTCTACTGTAAAGAAAGTGAGAAGTCAATTTAATATATATATATATATATATATATATATATATATATATATATATATATAGGTATCTCTCTTGCGTATATATATATATATATATATATATATATATATATATATTTATATATATATATATATATAAATAAAAAAAAAAAAAGTAAAAATAAATTATAAATGATAAAATGAAAAATAAGATATAAAATAAAAGTTAAAAATACAAATTGGAAAATAAATAAAAACATGGTTAGATTAGATAAATATAGCATAAAATTTCGCGCTACTATAGAAAACTTATATATCCAACTTGAAAATAATATCCTACAATGAATATATATATATATATATATATATATATATATATATATATATATATATATATATATGCTTTTGGCTAAACTTTTAGTCATTATCGATGATGATTTTATTTTTACTTTTACTGAATTCATACGATTTCTATATAATTTATGTTCTGAAAAGAAATAAATGATAAGAACACAAGAAAAATTGATTAAAAAACTAAACACTATCATTCGTTTTAACGAAACTTGTATATGAATCTATCTATCTATGAACACAACAAATTTTACCTTAGAAAATACAAGACCCTGATGATGACATTGTACTTATGTCGAAAGTACTTGGTATAAATGAATATGTATCAACATGGTAATTTTCTTTCTACCTTTAATAAACATACAAAGAAATCTGTCCGTAATTACGAGAGGATCCTATTAAAAATAAGTAGAGAAAACTTGTGTAAATTATTTAATGAATATATATATATATATATATATATATATATATATATATATGTATGTATGTATGTATGAATTGCACATAAACAAGTAAAGTTAGCCCCCTTTCATTATATAAATGATTAATTAATATTAATATTTGATAACCGACAACTCTAAAATAAAATTAATTCATAATAAATATTTATCTTTTATGTTCATATGGTAATACCGGTTATTTTAGTTACAAGATTTAATGTCATGAGAAATATAATAAATTTGAAAAAACTATATCCTAATATATCCTCATATATATATATATATATAATATAATATAGATAAGTGTTTAACTACGCGAGCTTTACAGATTACTGAATATTGCGTTTGGCATGAAACCTCGAGTTGTGTTAACGGTGTGGGATAATATGTATATTTATTAATATATATATTTGTTGTAACCTAGGGGAGGTTACTGAATAGAATAATCACACGAAGGCTGGTAATGAACTATAATACTTAGGACATGAACAACGCATATAAGATTCGCCAGCGGCGCGTAGAAGAAATCAACTGCTAGAAGTGAGTGAAGCAAATTTCACAATGAATCTCCAACTGCAGGATATCTACCAAACGCCCCACTCGGTCAGATGTGGCACAAGGCCGAATTTAATGTGGAGTATCCGAGCCCCGTTGGCTCGGCAAAAATCCCCTAGACCCCGTATAAAAACAACGGGGTCGGGTAGCTGTTTCGAGACGAGATTCTGCCATTCGACATAGCCTTGTCTGGGGATCCTCTGCCCAGAGGCAAAGAGTTTAACCAACCCAGCTGGAGAGACATCTCCAACCTCAGACCAACATACAGTATTTACTACTGTATTTATGCAGATGGAGACATGCTCATTATCGTCTGTAGGTGTGATACAACAATATTACCCCACACTTATTTTAGCTTGCAATTCCTCAAAAGATCATGTCGAATAAACATTACTTTTCACGTCTCCATAAAAATAAAATCCACGGAGTCAAATAGGAAATCTGCCCCCAAAAAAATAATTTTGAGGTTTCAAGAAGTTTTAAGAAATTTAAAAAATACGTAAAACAAACTAGATATGTCAGGTTTTCTTATTCTTTTTACACATTGTTTCTATCAGGTATTCTAAATTGCTCACAGACTTTATGGACACCCTGTACATCATTTTAATTTTTTCCTTTTTTTTTTTCCTTTTAATGTCATTTATGCACAAGTTACAAATATACATTCGATGTATACATAAAAAAGACACATGCAATATGCATAACTACAAGCATGTACAACCATATCTTTATACCAGCAATTAATTGCAATAGCAGATGTTTACATATATCTCTGTAAATTTAGATATAGGTTTTTATTATTACTGGAATGAAGATATGGTTGTACGTGTTTTTATGTGCATTGCATGTGTCAGTTTTTTTTATGTATACATTGAATATATCTGCATAACGGTGTACGGACAGTTGCGTAATAGACTACTGCGTCCTTCGACGAATGTGTCCCTGGATAATTGTGTACCTTTGATAATTTTTTGAAGTTACTATTTTTTTTAAAAGTGTTGTTTAATATAGAAATGTGCACAGCAATACTTTTAATTACTCTGAACAAGCAAAAGCAGCCATAAATAAAAGAGAGAAAAATTTCTTTTTCAAAGCAAGAGAAAATTAAGCTAGCAGTTTAAGTTCGTTCCAGCAATGCGTACCATAAACATCTAAATAGATTCTGGATTTTATAGATTATATTTTTATTTGGAACCCATGGCTAAGTTCCGAAAATCAAACAATGGTGGAAAAATATTTGTGGGTGAGGAAAATTACAGCTATCACGATAATAAGAAAAACGCTGATTAAACAAAAACATATTAGCGATATGTAGAGGCAACATTGTTATTAGGTTGGTGCAACAATAATGACGTAATAATGTCGT